TAGGTGGACGTGCGGATGGCACTCGGCCGCAGGGAGGGCGAGGAGATGGACAGGAAGGAGGACTGCACCATGGACGAAGAGGAGGAGGACGAAACGAAGGACGAGGAGGAGCTGGCACTGGAGAAGGGCCAGAAGGAGGTACTGCTGCTGCTGCTGCCGCCGCCGCCGTCGGAGGTGGCCACCACCCCGGGGGCCGCATCGCCGGCGTCCGAGCCGCCGCCGCCGCCGGCCCCGCCGGCCGGGTGGCCGTGCTTGCCCGAGTCGCCGCCTGCCAAGGAGCCGGAGCCGGAGGACACATCATCGGTCGAGTCGGCCAGCGACCGGCCAATGCGGCGGAGATTGCGCTCGGCCCGGCGGTGCTCGCGGGCCATGCTGCGGGCGGCCTTGCGCTCGTCACGGGTTTCGGTCTTCTCGGTGTCCAGGACTTTGAGGAGCTCGCGGAATTTGCTGGCCACCTCCTGGTCCAGGATGACCTGGTCCCCGTGGAGGGTGGCCCCATCGGAGCCGGACATGCCGCGGATCGAATGGACCCGGCGATCGGCCGCATGGGCCCGGGCCAGGACCTCCAGCCGGAGGGCCCGGCGCTGCTCGATGGCCTCGTCGGAGGCGGCGGCCGCCGGCAGAGTCGCCTGGCTGGCACCGCCGGCCGGCTCGGAGGCGGAGACCCCATCGCCGCCGGCGGCGGTGCCACCAGTGCCGGTGGCTGTGGTGGTGGTGGCACCGGTGCCGGTGGTTGGGGTGGTGGCACTGGTGCCGGCGCCGGCACTGGAGGTGGCGGTGGCGGTGGCGGTGGCGGTGGGCGTGGTGGCCGCCGGCACCGGGGGGATGAGCTTCTGGATTTGCCGGCGAATGGCATGGTGATGGTCGGTGGTCTCGACCTGGGCGCGGATGCGGCTGGAGCTGATCCGGACAAAGTCGCACAGCTTGTCGACGGCCAGATTGATGACGGTGGCCGAGTATTGGCGGTCGCCGAAGAGGTGGCACGCCGAGAGCCGGAGCCCGGCCGGCGGGGGGACGCTGGGTCCGGCCACCGGGGGGCTGGCCCCCCGCGGAGAGGTCCCCCCGGTCCCGGGGAAGGTGCTCATGAAGTCCAGCCAGGCGCAGAGATCGGCCTGGCGGCGGAAGAGCACCCGGTTGAGGGGCCGGGTGGCGGCATCCCGAATGGGGGTGCCATTGCAGAGGTTGGTCAGGACCTTGGTCACCAGGAGCAGGGTCCCGCGAGCCGGGTGGTCCAGGTCCAGGGCCGGGACCAGGCCGAAGCGGTCGGGATTCGACACGGCCGGCAGGAGGAAGCGCAGGAAGAGGAAGGCCCCGATGACGCGCATGCTGGTGGACATGGGCTGCAGCGGCGGAGGGGAGGCGGCCCCGGGCCCGGGGCCGCCCGGGGATGTGGCATCATCCTCCGGCAGGGTGATGCGGTCTTCCGGCTCCGGGGAGGGCCGACTGGAGGCGGCCTGTAGCCGGTCCAGGGCCACCTCCGGCTCCGGGATGCGGATGAGGCTCTCGGAGGCGGCCGAGGCGACGGCCATGCGGATGAAGGTGCCCATGCGACGCAGTGGCAGGCAGCATGCCCACGAACCGTTGGGCAGCGAGTGCCGGAAGATGCTGGCCAGCAGGCGCTCGCTGATGTCGGCCGCGAGTTGGAGGGCGTGCGCCCGGCGGGCCGGGTCGGCCTCCTTATTGGGCAGGGCGCTGGGATGGTCGTCCTATCAGGGTGGGTGTGTGTGTGTGTGTGTGGGGGGGGGGGGGGAGGGGTAATCCACATGTGAGTCGTCTGCCAAGAGGGGCCACGAAGGAGGGGGAGCGGGTTGGGCCGTATCGGCATACACATGCACACATGCACGTAAATACATGCAAAGACATCCATGCACATCGGTACATCGGTACATCGGTGCATCGGTACATCGGTGCATCGACACTCACACATATTCACACACATACACACACAAACCGGACACATACCATGGCGATGACCTCGCGAACAATGTCACCGAGGGTGGCCTCCAGGAAGTCGGCCCCCTCGACCTGGGCATAGGCGATCAGCAGCAGGATGGTGAGGCTGTTGTCACGCAGGGTGTTGACGAGATCCGTGGCAAGGCCATCATCGAAGGCAGCGGCATCGGGCCCGGTCGGCGAGGAGGAGGGCTGGTGCGCATCCGGGGACCCGTCATCGGAGTCGTCGGAGGCCTGCTCGCGCCGGGAGCAGGCGCTCTCGGCCGAGTGCAAGGCCCGCCGGGCGGTGGCCTCGGTGATGGCCGAGGAGATGCGCCGGCCGAGCAGGCGCCGGAGCAGCTCCTCCGTGGCGCTGGGGTCGCGCAGGAGGACGTGCACGGAGGCCGCCACGGCCGGCGCGTCAGCCGACACGGTGGACGCGTGCTGCAGCAGGGCCGCCAGCGCGTGCTGGTTGTGCATGAACAGGATGTTGACCGCCTTCTGGCGGATGTCCTCGCTCTTTTGCCGGCGCCGGAGGAAGGAGGGCCCGGAGGAGCTGGCCGAGGAGGCCAGCGCCGCGGCGAAGTCGATGGGCGCCGCGGTATTCACACCGAGGACCTTCTCCACGTAGCGTACCGCCAGGGAGGCGGTCCCCGGACGGCCGGGGGCGCCGCCGGCGGGGGGGTCCCCGGAGCCGCTAAGGGCGACCGCCGGCATGTGG